GAAGGGGTGGGGTGGTGGAAGGGAGAGGGGTGGTGGAAGGGGAGACGTGTAGTGGAAGGGGTGGGGTGATGAGGGGGGTGGTGTGAGGAAGAGAAGAATAAAACATAGGGTAAACGTGATGGGGTCGCAAAAAAGCGGTAACAAAAATATATATTCTGTCTGCCAAGAGAGTGTCGAGGAGAAACGCCACAGCCAGAATTGGATTTCCCCAAAGTGGAACCTACGCAGAATGGAGTTGGAGCTAGCTAGAGCTAGCTAAGCCAGCTAGCAAACTAACTTAGTATTATAGCCTTGAGCATAGTACAACAACTGGCTGGCTGGCTGGCTGGCTGGCTGGTTTGACTTGCTGGTTGGCACAACGTGTTCTTTATTCTGCGTAACTCGTAAGGTAAGAGAGGAAGAAGAGAAGCGATGGTTTGTGCCAGCAGGAGGAAGTAGTGTTATTGCCGTATTGTTTCTTATTGGTTCCGCATCGTAAAGTCGGGGAACCTAGACCTACGGGCCTCTCGCCTACCTTGTTCTGATTTATTTAAGCGGAAGACGGCGCGGTGGTAGGCGAGGAATGGGAGGAGGTGGGGGGGTGGGGGTCGCGCAAACAAAACCAACAAAACAAAACAAAACAAAAATGAGAAACAAAAACCAGCAACGTACGTAACAGCAAAAGCACATAAACGGCAATATATAAATAGATAAATAGATAAATATATAGATAGGCAAGTGAACAAATACATACATAAATACATACATAAATAGATAAATAAATGCACATTATATGCACTGGATAAAGAAAGAAAGAAAGAAAAAAAGAAAGAAAGAAAAAAAGAAAGAAAGAAAGAAAGAAAGAAAGAACAGAAAGAACAGAAAGAAAGAAAAGAAAAATAAATAAATAGATAAATTAATAAATACATAAATAAATAATGCAGATGAAGGTGTCTTACGGCCCCATCAACACAATTGAGATAATCTTAGATTTACATAATCCTCAAACCTGGCTTTCAGGGCCAACTCAGACTTAGAATGATACAACGTCCCAGATGACACATTATGGAGATGCATACTCGAAATTACAATGCTCTGTTTGCACAGTACTTAGTTTTAAGAAAGTTGATGTCGAAGATTTTGAGTTTGACATCATGTCCAGCCTTTTCGACCGCAATTCTTTTAATAATATCTTGATGATTCCAAAATGTAATAATCTAACGATTTGGATAGAGCAGATAGAGCATTTTGGTTTCTGACCTCGTGGTCTTAGTAAGTAACTCAAAACGGCCAAAATTCTTAGATAGAACTTTGTCATTATGAGGTAGCGACAAGGAGATACATACTCGGGAAAAAAATGTATTCCCACACGGGAATCTTACTCAGCTTTTCTAACTACGAGGTGGTGAGG